TTTCAATTATTATTTATATAAATTATTAAATGTTTATTTAAAAATAAAAAAGAAATCAAATTAAGACTACTAAATTAAAATCGATGAGTCTACTTTTTTGGTACGAAATAAATAGTGAAGGAATATCAAAAAAGGTAAAAAAATAATTAACGCCATGCATATTACTTAAAAGTTTATTGGGTGTATTTATTCGAGAATTTTAGGGAGAGCAATTTTTATTGTTACAGATTGAATTGTGGTAGTTAATAACAAAATATTTTTGATATATTTGGACCACTTAATGAATGCTAAATCCTATTCAGAGTTGAATTGCAAACCTACTGAGAACTAATTCAAGCCTGATTTTATATTAAGTTAATTTTAGTTGAATTTCATTATTTAATTAAGGATTTTCCTTACTAATTCATTATTTAATTTTAGGCTCAAACGAATAAAAATTACAATTTAATTTACCAATCATTTAATTAATTTTATCTATTTGACAATAATATTAAAATTAACATCAATTTTTATATTTTTATATCAATTTATGATATAAAAATAATTTTAATGTATACTTTAAAGACATATATTAAAAAATATTTTTAATTAGCAAATTATTTTTTTGTACGCAACAAGAACTAATTCAAGCTTACGTCTATATTATTCAAATTTTATTATTTAAGTTATAAATCAAATTCTTTTAAATGATGTCTGAAGAGTTAAATTAGGTTTTTTAAAAGTAAACGGAAAGATTTTAAATTAGGAAAATAATTGGGAGACAATTTTTTACGTAACCTTATAATCCCTTCATTCATTTTTAGTTGACTTTTTATGAGAGGATAATAATTAATGTTTTTTTTAAACTTGTGTCTTAAGATTATCTTTTCATTATAAATTTGTATAGAAAAATATAAATATTTATATTAATTTTAATTTTTTATTTTTTAAATAAAATAAAAATTTTCAATTTTAATTTTGTCATTATCCTTTTATTTTGATTATTTATTTTATCATAAAAAGTCTTTTTTTTTTTTATGTTTACCGTTTTTAAAGCCTAATATAAGTAAAAATATAAATTGTCACTAATGCTTAGTTTGATAGTACTAGTTTGTAGTTGCAATTGTAGGGTTTTTGGTCTTTTAACATTT